TCTCTCTCTCTCTCTCTCTCTCTCTCTCTCTCTCTCGTTCACTCCTGCTTCCACTCTCTCTGAAAAGTAATGGAAAAAATATCCTCTGGTGAGGATTTAAAACAAAAGTTACTCTCACAGAAGCTATTTATGTAGGCAGCATGTACTTATTGAGCACCTATTAACTGCTGGGCCCTGGGATATAAAGATGAACAGAAAACTGTCATCCCTCTGGAATCTTATTGTCTAGGAGGGAAGACAACAGAAGAGTAGGCAATTAAAATAGAATGTGATGAGTGTCCAAACAGGGAAATGCGTGGAGTACCTCAGCGGAGCCTGTAACTAACTCAGCCTTTGGGAAATTGCATGTGTGTTCTGAAGGATTAAACCAGGACTGGCCAGAGGAGGGGGTACCAAGAGGGAAGACATCCACGGCTGTGGACAGAGGGAGCAGTCTGATCTTAGGCTTGGTGGCACTAGAGGAACCTGGGGTGCTCAGAGCTGTGGGGGCGGTCCTCCAATTATTCACTTCCTTTCTTTTGAATGCATCTCATCTCATCGAGTGTAATATTCTAAGGGCAGAACTATGTCTCTTACTGTTATACCCTCCACAACTTCAAGGAAAATGATAGATTTTTCGTAAGAGTTTAATAAGTAAATACTAGCCATTAAAGCTAGAATCAAATCGATTTGACAGTGAAAATGGATTTAATCAAGGTTAGTAACTTCTTTAATAGTATGTTGATTCTTTAAAATAAAAAATAGAAAATTATTACAAAAGTAATTTGTAAAAATTATATAATAAATTTGTTTTATGATTTTATTTTGATATACAGGGGTTGGCAAACGTAGGTTTACAGTTGTAAGTATGCGAAACACCTTATTCTTGTATTATTATTTATTATTGTATTTTCCATACGAACAACTATAAACCTACTTTTGCCTACCCCTGTATTTTACTATACAGAATTTTAAAAGATATTTCTGGTTAATGATGATATAATACTGACATCTCTCTTCTTTCCTTTCTAAACTAAAAATAATGAGACTGAGAAGCAAAAAAAACCCCTCTATCTTGGTAACTAACAAAACCTTGTAATCAGAATATATGAATTAGTGCTATTAAGTAGTGAAGATTGAACCAGGGCAAGAGAGGATGATTTTCTCTACAGAACTCAGGCAGAGTGAGGGAAGCAGCTTTTCTCCCAAGTAGGGGGGTGGTCCACCATGGAGACAAAACCAATAACTTCATACTTGGATTGGCAAACTTGGTATGTACATTGGGCTTCCTGAGTGACAGGAGAGGTGGGGTTGAATTACAAACTATACAGTCATACTTTTTTTCTTCTTCAAAATATATCGCTATTGATTTCAGAGAGAGGAAGGGAGAGGGAGAGAGAGAGATGGAAACATCAATGATGAGAAAGTCATTGATTGGCTGCCTCCTGCATGCCCCCCACTGGGGATTGAGCCTGCAACCTGGGCACGTGCCCTGACCGGGAATCGAAGTGTGATCCCCTGGATCATAGGTCCATGCTCAATCACTGAGCCATGTCAGCCGGGCTACAGTCATACCATTTTTGCGGGAAGTTTAGAGTGGAGAAGAAACTGGCAGTAAACCGCCTTATAGCTGCTTAGTTACCTGAAGAGAAATATTTAAAGCCTACACTATCGTTCCCTAAAATCTACGTCATATGGACTCCAGTGAGTTGGAGAGACTGGTTCAGCACTGAGTCAAGTCTCAAGGGAAGAGTGTATGAACAAGACAACAGAAAGATTAGAGTGAGCTGATGGAATCTGGATACAAAATAACAGAAAAATATAATAGAAATGAAGGTCACTTGCAAAGCAGCAGATATACACTATGGGGGGGATATTGGAGGTAAGCTTGAGAAATTCCAGCAATTCAAAATGGAAAAAGTAAAAAACTAAAAAGATGAGAGAGAGAATACAGTAAATAGGCTTACCAATAATTGATACCCCTGAAGAAGACAATAGAATCATGAAGCAGAAAAAATATTTTCAAGACATTGAGTTTCCCACAGTAACAGAAGACTTGAAATTCTAAAGTAGTTTCTAGTCCTTAAATATAAAGACATTGTTAGGTCAAAATGGAAAAAAAATAAAATCAAGCCCTGTATAAAATAAAGAGGCTTGCCTTAGGCTTTTTCGTTCTAGAATATATGGAAAAAATACTCAAATTTAGTAGACAAAAGAAAATACATGACCCAAGAATTTTATGTTCAGGCAAGTTATAGTTTAAGTATATTATTAATTGACGTGTATTTCCAAATAGAAAAACCATGGCTTAGATTCCATAAGTCAGCCCTGAGTGGAGGTGAAGGGGAAGGGAGGAGAGAGAGGAGAGGTGATATGTTACAAACTATTGCATTAGGGATGAGTTGACAACTAATAGGATTAGTGAATAGCACTGAATAAATTTAAATGTAGAACCAGCATTAAAATGTTGTAAAGTATGGCAGTGTAGAAATAATAGTATAAGGAGAAATTACTGCATTTGGGATGGGTAGTTTAAAAAAATGGATATTTTTCTCATTGTTCATAACATAAGGTCAATTGTGATAATGCTAAGTATACTAATTTTCTTAGTGTGCAGTAAAGAAATGTTATCTAAAGGACACAGACTAAATCTCCCAAGAAAACAGGCTATATAATGAAATGTAATAAAAAGATAGAATTGAAAGCTAAAAGCAATGCAAAAAAGAAAGATAATAAAATTAAGATGAAATATCTGCCATGTAAATAAATATAAAATTATAAATTGGATAAACCCATTTATTAAAAGAGAATGACACTCAAGGTAGAGCAAAAAAGTCAAACCAATTAAGAGATGTCATCTAAATCGAACCAGCAGATAATATTTTAGTAAATATTTCAGGCTTTGCAGCCATACAATCTCTATTGCAACTATTCATCTCTACTGTTACAGCATGAAAGCAGCCATAGACAACATGTAGATGAATTAACAGGATAGTTTTCTAATAAAACTACAAAAATAGTCATTGGGCCAGATTTGTACTGTAAGCTAGAGTTTTCTGACCCATGATTTAAAACAGTGCCTCAGAAAATTTTAGAATAAAAGGATGGGTAAAGACTTTAACTGGCAAATTCAAATAAAAAAATGAGAGTCCAAGTATTTGTGTCAGACAAGGTTTAATTCAAGACAAAAATCATCACTTGAGTTGCATTTCCTAATGATAAAGAATGATAATCTAGTGGTTATGAATCTCATATATCAAAAACACAGCTTTAAAATTTATAGGACAAAAAATATACTGAGAAACAGACAAATCTGATCATAGAAAGGGATTTTGACTGAATTCTTTCAGTTCTTGATAGAGCAAGCAGACAAAATAAGTAATAACATAGTGGACATTAATAACCATGATATATAGTATAACAAACAATGTACCCTGGAAACAATGAAAATGAGCTTTTTCAAGAATCCCTATTAGGTCCCAAAGAAAATCTCAGTCAAATGCAAAAAGCAGAAATATATGCAGATATGCTCCTTATTCTTAACTAGAACTAAAACAAGGAAAACATAAAACTCTACCATCTGAAAAAATTAACTCTTAAGTCAAAGGGGAAATTAAAATATCAAATCCAAATCAATTAGAAAGTACTGATAGTCAGAATTCCGTGTACTAGTATCTTTGGGATATGGCTAAAACAGTACTCAGGGAGATTCATAAATTACTAAGCAAGAAAAAATTAAAATGAATAATTCAGCCCAAGAAGTTGCAAAAAATAATAAATGAAAAGAAAGCAGAAAAAGTTTATCAGCCCTTGCTGGTGTGGCTCAGTTGGTTGGGCATTTTCCCATGCACCAAAAGGTTACCAGATCAGTTCTCCATCAGGGCATATGCCTGGGTTGCAGGCTCTACCCCTGGTTGGGGGTGTGCAGGAGGCAGCTGATCAATGTTTCACTCACACATCACTGTTTCTCTCCCCCTCTTCCTTCCTCTCTCTTTTTAAAAAAATCAATAAAAAGAAAGTATTATCAAAGATAAAAGCAGAACTTGATGAATTAGAAAACTTACATGGAGATACTAATAACTCCCAAGAGATTTTGTTTTTTGTTTTTTATAAGAGGATATTGGTAAAAATATAAAACAGATAAACTTCTATTGAACCTGTCATGAACAAAGGGAGAAAGCACAAATATCACATATGTTATGAATGCACAGAATATGAGAATAAATCACATATATTTAGGAAATTAAATATAAGAGGTCACATTACTAATTGTCTGCAGATAAATGTGAAGACCTGATTCACTATGAAAAAGCACTAAGCCGAGGCAACCTTCTAAGGAACATTATAACTTGTAGTCCTTTTTTACTTGCTCAAGAACATAGAAAAAGAGAAAGATTTTCTAAATTATTTTTTGAAATATTGTATCGATACCAAATTCTGGCAAAGCACACAAACAGAAAACTTAGGCCATTATTATAATACAAAAATCTTACATGTTAGCAAGTATAATTCAGCAACACATTAAAATAATAGTACATAATGACCAAGTTGCTTTCATCCCAGGACTGTATCAGAAAATAATAAATACCATATTTTAAAAAATATGAAAGAGGCCCAGCCGGCGTGGCTCAGGGGTTGAGCATCGACCTAGGATCCAGGTGATCAGGGTTCGATTTCCAGTCAGGGCACATGCCCGGGTTACGCAGGCTAGGCAGCTGATCAATGACTCTCTCATCATTGATGTTTCTATCTCTCTCTCTCCCTCTCCTTTCCTCTCTCTGAAATCATTAAAGATATATTAAAAAAAAAAAAAAAAATAATGAAAGAGAAAGATGATCATCTCCCCCGAAGCTGAAAAAGAATTTGGTAAAATTAACCATTCTGAAAGTTTTTTGTTGTTTTGTTTTGTTTTTTTGAATAACAACTCTTAATAAAATAGGAATTTACTTGTTATTTCCTTAACATAACAGGAAATTCGTCACATTAAAAGTCAGCTTTATTACCCTGGCCGGTGTGGCTTGGTTGGATGTTGTCCTATGTTCCATTCCCAGCCAGGGTATTTGCCGGAGTGGTGGGCATGTAGGAGGCAGCTGATCAGTGTTTTACTCCTGTATCTATGTCTCTTTCTCTCTCTCCCCCTCTCTCCCTCTCTCCTCCTTCTTTCCTTGCTAAAAAAAATCTTAAAAAAAAAAAAAAAAAAAATCAGCATTATTCCTACCTACCATTGACTCAAAACAATCTCACTTAAAGTTAGGAGTAACAATGGTCACCCTNAAAAAAAAATTTAAAAAAAAAAAAAAAAAAAAAGTCAGCATTATTCCTACCTACCATTGACTCAAAACAATCTCACTTAAAGTTAGGAGTAACAATGGTCACCCTTATTATTAACATTGTTCCAGTAGTTCTAGCCAATTCAAGAAAAAAAAATGTGTAAAACTTTAAAGGGGAAATCCATAACTGGAAGATGTCAGTGTTAAAAAGTAAACATTGCCCATCACATCCCTTCATGCCTGCCCTTAGATGTCTTTCTGTGATTTATAAAATATTATCATGCATACAGATATATAGGCTGCTTTCTTCATAATGGCAATCAAATTGATTCTGTAAATTACTTTTTTCTCTTATATCCTGTGTATTTTTTTCCTGAAGTTATTGTAGATTTACTTAAATTAATCCATGAAGGATTTATGTTTGCCAGGTGGGTGAGCAGGCCAAAGAGTGTAAAAATGAAACAGCATGGGTTTGCTTTGAAATCTTTCCTGTCATGAACATCCAGACCTTCAGGGCAGCTAAATTCAAATTTTTAGTCCAACTTTTCTTTCTTGCACCCTAATAAAGTGAAAAGGGAAAGCTATTATTTTTGTTTCACATTGGTATGTGATTAAGTTTACTCAGTAATGAATGTGATTTTTATTAATCAAGCTTGTACTTCAGGGTTTCTTTCCTGCTAGAGTAAGTGAAATGCTTTTCAAGGGTAATACAAATTCTCTGTTTTTATCATTTTCAGGTAAAGTGTAGTAAGAAGAATTAGCACTTATGAGTTATAATTTTCATTCAGTGTCTAACATGTACGAGGCATGGTATTTAGTGTGTTGCATGCGCTGTATCATTTGATCCTTGCAGCAGCTTAATGATAACATAGCGACTGTTATTATCTCTATTTTACAGATGAGAAAACTGAGGTTAAATGACTTGCTCAAGGTAACAAAGTAAGTCCAGATTCTGGGCTTGAGCAAACATTATCTCCTGACTCCTCAAGCATTTATGTATCTTGTCATTCACTGGTATGGGGCATTTCATACTGAGTTTATTAAAGGAGAGAGTATTGAGTTTTTATGTAGCTGGTCTCTAAAAGCCTATGTGGGTGACTTTTGGAGTGTGGAGAAGGGGTGTTAGACCACATTAGCCCACTACAATCCTGACTTGACAAATTAGTTGATTCAATTTCATTGTAGACTATGTAGTGGTATAATGTGTAAATGCTACTGCTGGGACTTTTGTGTAGAGATGTATGAGTATTGTGTCATTTTTTTCTTCCATTTCTTACTAAAGCTCCAAAGACTCATAAACCATGATTATTATTCTGTTTAGTGTAATTGGGAGCACTGAACTGAGTGGTGGAAGTGTGGTTGGGTGACTAGTCCTTGGGCTCAAGTTTAGATGGGATAAGTGAGGGGGGAGATTAAAGGGAAAGTGACTTTTTTAAAAATGGGAATTTGCTCTTTTTTGTATGTCATAGAAACATTATTTTACAAATTGCTGAATACTTGTCAATTTATCAAAATATGTAGACTTTCTGAGGGAAGTTTGAGGTCTGTTTGCATTGTAAAGAGATTTTGGTTCTGGAAATAGGTATAGCCTATAAGCACCAGTAATGAAATGAAAAGACTGCTACTTTATGACATTTGTTTGGTGGAAGACCCCTACCTATTTTGAGGTATTTCCAAAACTTAGCCAGAGGAGAAGTTATTTAGTTCAATTTGGAGGGGTAAGGTAATTTAATATTTTGTCCCTCTTACTATTTGGATTCAGTATTGGGATGTTGGATTACAACGAAGAAGAATCTATCCCATTAGAAGGGTGATATCCTAGTATTTTACTTCTGAGGTGAGCAGACTTTGCTTATTTCAATTTGTTAACTAGGCCTTTTGATATTTTTGTAGACAATCTGCTTCATCTTGATTCTGCAGCATTCCAAAGTGTGGTATCCTTGGGGTTCTCTTAACATTGCTATGGTGCAGAAGATTTAAAATCAGGTATGGCTGTGGGGCCAGAAATCCCTCAGTGAAATTCTCAACTTAAATCTGCCTTATACTCTCTGATTTATCATTTGGGTTTCTTTTTCTGTGGTGGTCTTTTAGCTGATGTTCACAAGGAATAGAGTCACGTGATGTATGAAGGGAAACATATACACTTCTCTGAGGTTGACAATAAGCCCTTGTGCTCATATAGCCCCAAACTGTGCAAGCAGCGGCGACTCAACGGCTACGCTTTCTGTATCAGACACGTTCTGGAGGACAAGACTGCCCCCTTCAAGCAATGTGAATATGTGGCCAAGTATAACAGCCAACGCTGCACCAACCCCATCCCCAAATCAGAGGATCGTAGGTAAGAGCTGGTAATGGGACTCGGCCTTTGATTTAATTAGGCTTGGAATTTTTCTTTTTCTTGTCCTTTCTGCTTTTGATACAGTGAATGTAAATGATGCTTTCTTTGAGTATTCTAAGTAATCTTTGAAATGCTTCTAAAGATGAGAGATGGTAATTTTTTAAAAATGGAGTAGTAAATTTGGGGAATCACTTGAAAAGTATGTTTTAATGCTTTCTTTTTATATTAAGAGACTTTCTAGGATTATTTAAAAAAAATTTTTTCCCCTTAAAGTTGTTGCTTGAAGTCTTGGTACTGATGTATTTAGTTTGCAGCCCTATAAAGTGTTTCTGACTTCTCTACTTAGTTTTGTCATCTGCCTAAATGAGAAAAATTATGGAAACTACTTAGGTGTTGTAATTTATGATAATTTTGGAATTTTAAAATCTGTGCTTGAAAGGTAACAAAGGGTATGTACTCACTGAAAAAGAATTACTCAAAAGAATGATTACTTGAATCACTCAGATTTACTTTCTATCAGACCTCTAAGAAATATTTGGCATTATTTTATAATCTTGCCTCTTTTGGTTAAAAAGAGTTCCATATAGAATATGTTTACTATAAATTAGAAACTGTATCTTCATAGTAAGGATAGGTTTTATTGCTAGAATTATGAATTTATGCTTTGCTGAATTAAAAAATAAATAAATGGGGAGGTGTTTTTAAAGAAGTCTTATGCTGGTTGTTCATCTTTCATATTTGTAGGAAAATTCACACTAGATTTCACATATAATCTCTTTTCCTTCAGTTCTCCAGAAACCATGTTGATCATGGTAGGATATTACAGAGGGATGCATGCTTATTTTACAAGAAAGTTTCAAATACTTGTTATCTTTAGGTAGAAACTTGGAATGTTTAACTTCTCTCTTAGAATGTATAGAAGTAAAAAGTTCATCCTTAAAAAAAAGTTCATCCTTGTTCCCATACATAAGCAAATGTCACCTGCATAAATTGGTTGAAAAGGAATATGTATTTTATATGTCACAGTGAGCAGTTTTTACACTTTAGGGTGAAATAAATAATTTGTGCTGCTAGAGATCCCACCAAAATGAGTATAGTATAATGTGGTGATTTGGGAATACTCTGTTAGAATTTCTAATGAGCACTTAAGGCTTCAAATTACAATACCCGAAAGTTAGAAACAGCTGCTTAGTGAGACAAGGAATAAAATTTTAATCTCAGGTGAGAAAGGGACCACTGTATTAGGTAAACATATCTGTCCATTTGGTTCTAGCAGACTGAAAATGCTAATTTCATACCCTTGCCCTTTTTAAACTTAAAAAATGGAAGAACTTGGATTAATTTTTTACTTCTAGCTCCATAATAAACACATTTCAATAATTTTGTCTTAAATTCATTTTATCACAGTTGCAATTGTCAACCTTGGATTTGTTTTCATTTCAGCTGAAGCAAATATTATAGCTTACAGCAAGCAGTAAAGTAAGAGTCACTCGAAATTTGTCCAGAATATTCTGTGAGGCATATATCTTCACCTTTATATTCTAAGTAATTTCCTCTTTTTAGATCAAGATAAGGGAAATGATTTTTGTGTTATGTCAAGAGAAACTATACTTGGTTAAGTACTAATATACATTTTCTTTTAAATTGGTCCAAGAACATATAAATGCAAATGGCATACACACACACACACACACACACACACACACACACACACACACACACACACACACACACACATATATTAAAGTCGACTTTAGCAGAAGATAATATTCTTATGTTACCTGAAGAAATCCAGGTTGGGTTCATGTCATAATATGTTTTAACCTGTATATATATATATTGGTAATTGTAACTATATGACATACTATGGAAAATATTAATATTCTTTTGAAAATATACTTTCATTGTTATTGCAGTTACTCCTTGGACACTTAGGAATTTGAGATAGTTTATGTATTGTTTCAGAAAAAAAATTTCCAAGGACTTTCAATTGACGAAATTATCTGGTTGGTGGTCAGCTAGAGGAAGCTTCTTGATATCTGGTGTCTAATTTATCTGGTGTGTATTATAAATGCTAACTTAAGGGATTCCAGTGTTTGAAATAGAATAATGTTATGCTCAGTAGTAGTACTGGTATAATTTAAAAGTAAAGTTCAGCAGGCCGGTGTGGTACAGTGGTTGAGCATCAACCTGTGATCAAGGAGATCACGGTTTCCCTGTTGGGTACATGCCAGGTTTGCAGGCTTGATCCCCTGTGCAGGAGGCAGCCGATCAGTGACTCTCTCATCATTGATGTTTCTGTCTCTCCCTCTCCCTCTATTTGAAATCAGTGAAGATATGTTTAAAAAATTAAATTAAAAATAAATAAAAGTAAAGTTCATTTTCTAAGCTAGGGTTCATTACTGCTTGATTTCTTAGAGATAAGTGGTTATATTAAGTTGATTATTTTATATAACATTTTAAGTTTAAGTTTGCTATAATTTTATGTCTATTTTTACTAGTATGTATATATTTGCCAAGAAAATTTCTTGTCATCTGTATGTTTATTTTTAAAAACAGTTTAAGATATAATTCACATCCCATACAGTTCACTCATTTAAAGTATACAATTCAGTATTTTTTAGTAATATTCACAGGGTTGTGCAGCTGTCACCGCAGCCTAATTTTACATTTTCTTCCCCCCAAAACAACCCCATTAGTAGTTACTCCTCTGTATACTAGTTCTTTTAGACAAGAATGCATATTTGCATACTTATTTTAAATGCTAGTAAACTGTTCTAATTCTAGTTATGAAGAATTTTCTCTTTTAGCAGAGGCAGGGTTTTAGGAGTTCAGACTCTGTTGTGATAGTGCCGCCAGGGTGGCTGGAGTGAGTGGAGTGAGGTTGAAGGAGGACTGTATGTGCAATCCGCCTCTGCTGTATTACGTAATGAAACACATAGTAGCCTCATTTACTGTTCAGGCTGCCCACATGTAAATGACCAGGAAAGTCTGATTTGTAAATTAAAAAAAAATACTCCACCTCATTTTTCTTCATTAAAAAAACTAATTCATTTGTGAATTTGAAAGTGAGTTGAAAACAAGAAAACCAATTTATTCTGTATTGGAAAGCTTCTTAGTACAGTTGTCCCTGAAGCCCTTTCTCTTGTTTTATGAATCTGTTCATATAGCGGACACTTGTCATTCTTAATGGTTATGTCATAAGATCTTTATGAATCTCTAAATACTTGAATGGCATTGGAACATATATACAGTATTTTTTTCTCCATAGATAATTTTAAGTGACTCTTGATGAGTTACTTTGTTTGCTATGAATACAGAATAACAAGGGACCTGAGAAGCAATAGCTGGGCTGTGCCACTTACTATTTGAATGACTTCTGTCTGGCAGCCTCCACACTGTACAGTTCACATGTTTGCTTCAGCAAAATTGCATGGACTTTGAGGATTGCTTCAGAGTCGTGGAAGTTGCATATATGAAATTCACGAATGTCAAGAGTTACTCTAGTCCTACCTTTTTTTTTTTTTGAATCCTCGCCTGAGGACCTTTTTTCCATTGCTTTTCAGAGAGTGGAAGGGAGAGAGATAGAGAGAGAAACATCCATGTGAGAGAGATGCATCCACTGGTTGCCCCCCACACCCACCTTGACTGGGGTAGGGGATCGAGCCTGCAACCACGGTACGTGCTCTTTGCTGGAATAGAACCTGGGACCCTTTAGTTCCTGGGCCAACGCTAACCACTGAGCCAAGCTGGCTAGGGCTAGTCATTCGTTTATAACATATTAGGATTCATATTTTATAAAATATAGTTTTATATTTTACTTAATATGTATCATGAACATTTTCCCATGTATGTGTATGTTTTTAAAGGTACTGCAACAGCCACTTGCAGGTACTTGGCTTTATCCCGAAAAAAGAGAGGAAGAAAAAGAATGACCCTATAGATGAGGTAAAGGTCAGGCACCAGATGGATACGATGGCCTTTAGCCTGACGGTGCCTACGTTGGCCTTGAAGATGCCCAATGGACTGGATGGAATGTCCCTCTCTCCACCTGGGGCAAGGGTCCCTCTCCACTACCTGGAAACTGAGTTGGAAGACCCATTTGCTTTCAACGAGGAGGATGATGACCTAAAGAAAGGGGCAACTGTGAGAAAGAAGTTGCAGAGCAAGTTGGCCCAGAATCGGCAGCGCCAGAGAGAGACAGAGATTTTAAAAGTTCGACAAGAGCACTTTAGTCCCCCTCCTGCACCTTCCCAGCAGCAGCCTCCGCAGCAGCACTCCAGCCTGTCACCTTTATCCACTTCTGTAAAGCCTCCAGCGCCACCGCAGGGTTTAGTCTGCAAGTCACCTCAACCTCAGAACACCAGCCTACCAATGCAGGGAGTGGCCGCCACCACACACACTATAGCACAAGCGAGGCAGCTGTCTCACAAGAGGCCTCTGCCCCTCCTGCCATCCAGTAGGGCTCCTGCCGTGGACCCACCCAGGACTGACCGGGTCCTTATGAAAGCCACAGCCTTCTCTCCACACTTCTCTTGTATAAGTCGACTGCAGAGACTGGTGAAACTGTGCACCCAAAAACATCAGTTGGACACTGATTTGTTTCCCCATTTAGGTGAGTTATCTATTTTACCATATCATATATGTGTAATACAACATATTGCACGAGGCTTTATTTTTGTAACTACCACATAGGTGATGGGATAGAAGAACACTTGGACAGAGTGTCCCAATGGAAGATTGTGTATTTAGGTAGACCACCTTAAAGTAAATATGCTACTGGGGAGGATAATACTTGGGGAACAGGATACAGAAATAGGAGTTGGGAATTTAGAATTCCAGTTATAGCTTCTAGTAGCAGTAGTAGTAGTAGCCCCGGCACAGCAGCATATTAAAAGACAGTTGATTGTATATGCCTCTGTAGTCTCAGTACCTGTGTGTCCAATGAAATTCTCTACATGTATTATCATAGGACTTTGGAATAATGATAGCATTGTTACTATCTGCCAACAGTTTAAAAAAGAAAACTTAAAAAAAATTCCCAAAGCAATTCCTATTCATGATTTAAAAGTGAAAAGATACAGATATAACTTTAATTTAGTCAAATGTCTATCTTTTCTTTGTTGCTTCTGAGTGTTCTTGCTTAAGAAAATCTCTCTGATCCCAAGTTTATAAAGATATTCTATATTTTATATTAATAGTTTGATTGTTTTTGATCATTTAAACCTTTAATTCATTTGGAATTTATTCTTGAATGTGGTGTGAGCTGTGATTCTGACCTGAGGAAAAATTATTTGCATGACATGACAGCAATACAAAAATGGGAAAAGTATGGGAATAGAGGAAGAAGATATATAAGTGGTTAATAAACAAGTGAAAATTTCAGTCCCCAAAGTAGGCAGTAAATGCAAATTAAAATAACAGTGAATTATCATCAGATTGGCAAAAATCATATCCAGTGTTGGTGAGGATATGGGATGTCATACATTGCTGGTGACAATATTTGCTAATTTAAACTGTATGTATAGCCAGCATACGTACTTTGGGGATTCTGTCTTATGGTAAAAAATAATTAGAATGTAAAGATATGTGTTCAAAGATGTTTATTGCAGCATTGCTTGCAATATTAAAAATCTACAAACAATCTTTATAACCAGTAGGGAACCTTGAGTAAATTATGGTACATCTATGTTTTATGAAATATTATGCAGCTATTATAAAAAGAATGAATGAAATTCTTATCTTTTACCTGGCTGTGCCCTTGATGGATATTAACAAGTAGAAAAAAATCAAGAGGTATTGTAATATCTTATTTTTTAAAAAAGTAAACAAGAGACATCAATGTATCTCTTGTGACTGAGTATATGGATAGATATTTGGCTATTAGGTGCGAGTATAGGTAAAGTGTGAGTGGATGTACACTACCAGGCTGTTAACATTGGCTACCACAAGGAGATGGAATTGGACAGGGTGTTTTTTTAAGTAGATGGGAGTGGGAACTCTTCTTATATAGCTTTATATTGTTTTACCTATTACTAAACCATGTAGGACTTTTGTTAATTAAAAAAACAAACAAGCCCGGCCGGGCGTGGCTCAGCGTTTGAGCATCGACCTAGGATCCAGGCGATCAGGGTTCGATTCCCGGTCGGGGCACATGCCCGGGTTGCGGGCTGCAGCTGATCAATGACTCTCATCGTTGATGTTTCTGTCTCTGTCTCTCCCTCTCCTTTCCTCTCTCTGAAATCAATAAAGATATAAAAAAAAACCCAAAAACAAACAAAAACCCAAAACAAACAAAACTTTAAAAATATAAACAAAAATAATAAATTAAAACTCTCCAAACCTTATTAATGCTTACTTGTCAATACCTTGCTATGTTCTTTCAGATATATAAAATTGGGTTCCTGCTATACATACAGTTTTGTAACTGTTTAAAAATTTTTGGTAATGTAATATTAATTAGTAATTTTTCATACACAATGTAATTTGTCACAGCTGAATGCCTTTTCTAATTTGTCATTTCCAGTTTATATCATTATAAAGTGTAGCTGTATAGCCTTGCAGTAAAATAATTACTGTCGTATCTTTAATTTTTCCTTCAAATAGATTCCTAGAAGGAGAATTGCTGATTCCAAGCTTTTGGATTTTAAAAAAGTTTTTTGATATGTGTTGCCAGATTTTCCTTCAGAATTATTTTTTCACTTTACCCTTTTAGCAGTGTATGAGAATGACAGGTTCTCTACATCTTTGTAGCCATGGGTAGTAGGTAATAATATTATTATTACTATTATTATTATTTTATGTTTGCAAATTTCATAGAAATTTTGCTTTAATTTGTATAACTTAGATCAGTGTTTCTCAAATTTTGGGCCTTAGAGTCTCCCTACACTCTGAAAAATCACTGAGGACACCATAGAGCTTTGTGTACATGAGTTATATTGATATTTACTGAATTAGACGTTAAAACAGAAATTTTAAAAATAATTCATTTAAAAATTAAAGCAAACTCACCACATTAACATGCTCTTTTTATGGACAGTAACTACGTTTTCCAAAACAAGTATAATGTGAAGAGATGCATTGTTTTATGTTGTTGTGCAGATCCTAATGCCTGATTTATTAGAAGACAGCTAGATTCTCGTCTTTGCTTCTGTATATAATCTGTTGTTATATGTTGTTAGGAGATGGAAATAGGGCCTTACACATTGGTAGTTGGAAAAGGGAGGAATACTTTAATAGCTTTTTTTCAAATAGTTGTGGATATTCTTATTTGATTCTACACCAAAACTTGACAAGCGGTAGTTTCCTAAAGAGTAAAGGAATTTTACATACTGTTACATTAAAATCCATTGATTCACCTTGTACTTTGAATGAATCTTTTACCCATGCAAGATTTTGTAATATTGTCTGTTGCTCATTTGGAAAATTACGATTTACTGAGTTATACAGATGTGCCAAATGTTGACATTTTTCATTATATAAAAATTTAAAATTACATTCCGTAATAGTACCACCAATCTCCTCAGAAAAGTCTATTAGGAACTCGTCATACTTTTAGTGATGAATTCAAATTTTGCAAAAAATCAAGCTTTAAGGTAAAAATTTGAATTTTATATTGGCAACAAATATTGTTTTCCTTGAAGTGATGGATTCACTGTGTTCATTTTAGAAAAAATGACTGCCAGATAGCTAAGTCTTAATAACCATAGTTTGTCAGTCACTCTTTCAAATAAAAATGGTGTTGAATGAAAAAGAATCAGCAAGTTTAGGTCACAATTAGAACAGTCATGCAAGTACTTTTCCTCAAGACAGCCATTACACTTTTTTTGTATGCTACAGAGGTGCTTTATATATACTTCACATTTAGTCACACAGAATGTTATGAAGACATGAACTCAAGAATTGAGATTTAATGAAATAAATAATCTTTAATAAACAAGTGCTTTATCAGGGACATTCTTAAAACTTTTTCTTGTTCTTATTTAACTGCAAGTCCTGGTGTGAAACATGTAATGACTAGTAGTAAATTTGATGCCACTGCCTTGATTCATGTTAAGGTGCCAGCAGTTTTACCCAGCATGGGTTTTGTTTATTTGTTTGTTTCTTGTTTTTTTTAAATCATCAATGCAAATGTCAATAGAGTGACAAAGACAAATGATGTCTTAGTATTATTTTGAAGATGGTGTTGACCTAAAGAACTCCCTTGAAAGAGTCCCAGGGACCTGTGGGGATCTTTGGACTACACTTTGAATGAGAACTACTATTTTGGATTAATAATATAATTTTGAATATGTTTTTTTTGGACATTTGTATTTCACACTTATTTTGCCTTTCCAATTTGTCATTCATTTTTAATAATGTTTTTCTTTTTCTTATTGATTAGTCAGAGCTTTTTATACATCATGTTTGTTATAATACCTCATCTCCCTCCCATTTGTTATTTGCTATTAAATATCTATTATAATTTTGGAATTTAGAAGTTAAACTTTTTAATGTATTGTCTTTTTTAAGGATTTCTTCCTTTTGAATCAGTTTTTCCTTCCCATCTTTGGACTCTTTTCATTCCAAGAGTATTTCACCTATACAGTATTTTCTTTCAGTCCTTTTATTGTTTATATTTTAGTCATCTATTTAGAACTCATTAGGTGTTAGTTTTGAGGCAGATATCTCTTTTCCCCCAAAATGTTTGCCTCTTATTTTATCACTTACCTGTATCATCCACTGAATTTTTACTTTTACTTGTGGATGCTAATAATTTTTTAGCTTTTGAATGTTGTGTTGAGGGCTGATTTTTCTATCATTTTGAACAGAACAAAACGTATAGAAAAAGCATTTTCTTTTTGTTTTTTTAAACTCAAACATATTAGGGGTTCAAGTTTGCAAAACAAAGATTATTTTGGAGAAACCAGAAATTGTAACCCACTGTTAGGACCAAGCATTGTCTGCATTCATATCAGCAAAAAATACTTTTAAAAAATGCAGTCTTATAATTGGCTTTTGCACTCCTGGCTGGGCTGGTTATCTCAGTAAGTTACATTAAAACTAGTGATAATGAAGCTGAGATCAAAGGTTTGCTTTATTGGACAGTTAATTTTATAATAGGAGAAACACTTTAGTTCTTACGATTTAGATCATGACTTTTTCAGAGAAAGTATAGGTGTAGTAGTAGAAATTATAACTTCTGCAGATAACTCATGATCTAAGTTTTCAAAGTGCCACTTTGTGTTTGAAAGACCTCACCTTTCAACATCCTGAAGCTGGTGCTATTGTGATCACTTGTTTTTTACTTTAAAAAAAATAAATTATTTTAGTTGAGAGAAAGTAAGTTTTTAAGATGACCTGACATTTTGGCCCAGCTGGGGTGGCTCAGTGGTTGAGTGTCAACCCATGAACCAAGAGGTCATGGGATTGATTCCTGGTCAGTGCATATGCCCGGATTGTGGGCTCCATCCCCAGTAGGGGGCGTGTAGGAGGCAGCCAATCAATGTTTCTCTCTCATCGATGTTTTATCTCTCTATCCCTCTCCGTACCCCTCTCTCTAAAATCAATAAAAACATAAAAAAAAAAAGATGACCTTACATTTTGGATAGTAATCTTGGAATTGGATTTGAGATTTGATGCTAGTTGCAATGTGTTCTTTAATTTTAAACATTTAAAGCTTGCATTTCAGTTAACTTTTTCTTAATTTCCCTATTTGTCACATGTAAACTTGTTTAAATTACGGAAGAAATCTGTAAGGTCCTTTTTAATATAACTTTTTCTAATGATTTTTGAGGGTCTCAAGAAGGAAGATGTAGAATACTGATTATCAAGGTATCTAATGAAAGTTTTATAGCTGTATGGGTATATTAAAGTAGTCCCACAGGCTGTCAGATTTTAGGCTATGCAAGACCTCTTCACATTATAACACTTAAAAAAAATTTTTTTTTTTAATTCTCACCCAAGGGTATTTTTTCTGTAGCTTTTCAGAGAGAGTAGAAGGGTCAGAGAGAGAGAGAGAGAGAGAGAAACGCTGATGTGAGAGAGAGACATCGATTGATTGCCTCCTGCCCCGACTGGGGCTGGGGATCGAGCCTGCAACAGAGGTACTTGCCCTTGGCTGGAATCGAACCCAGTACCCTTCAGTCCACGGGCTGACGCTCTAACCATTGAGCCAAACCACCTAGGTCTAAAACTTTTAAACAAGTACAACCTTTCTGTTGGAAGTGAACAATTATCCAATCATTAAAGGTAATAGCATTTAACAAAATATGTAAGCATTGTTCATACCATATTTCTCTACTTTTCCCTATAAAATTATTTTTCAAAATGGAACCCAAAATGGGGCAGCTGTAATGTAGCCAAGCTACATTAGAAATAGGAATGGCCCTACCTAGTGGATGGAGTACTTTCCTCCAGAGGTGTTAGGAAAGGGGTGTGGAGTGTCTTTGCCTTTGACAGTTTATTCTGGGCCCCTTCTTTTGACTTTTTTCTTGCCTGAACTTTTCTCACAGTCTTGAATATGTTTTATGTTTTACTGATGTGTATGATGTTTTGATACTTATGAAAGTCTACCTTTTTTTTTTTTAACTTGAACGTTCTTTGCTTGTGTTGTTTCTACTCCATTTGTGAAGTGTCTGATAAAAGAAGTTTATCTTTCCATAAAAAATAATGAAATCTTAACATTGGTGACAGCATGGGTTGACCTAGAGGGCATAATGCTAAGTGAAATAGGTCAGCCAGAGAAAGACAAATACCATATGATTTCACTTAGGGTGGAATCTAAAGAACAGAATAAACTTGCAAACAAAATTGAGACAGACTCAGACACAGAGAACAGACTGTTGGTAGCCAGAGGGGAGGGCGGTTGGAGGACAGGTTGAAGAGATTAAGAAAATAAAAATTGGTAGTTACAGAATAGTCATAGATATAAAGTACAGCATAGGGAATATAGTCAATAATATTGTAATAACTATATATGGTCTCAGGTGGGTACTGGAATTATCGGGGGAAACACTTTGTAAAGTATATGATTATCTAACCACCGTGCTGTACACCTGAAACTAATACAAAATAATATTGAATGTAAAGTGTAATTGAAAAATATAGTTGAAAAACAGAACAAAAAAGAAGTTCATCCCTGGACTGTAGCCTTTTTGTTATAATGTCATTATTTTAGACTGGAGTGTGTCATATATTCATTATTAATATCCTTGTCAGACAGGGATGAAACTCATCAGGAGGCATTTATTCAAACTGTGATAGATAGTACTTGCTATAGGTGTTGGGTCACATATTTCAGGTTGTTTTTTATCTGAATTTTAAATAAAAGTAGATTTTTTTCTTACTTGCAATATTCTCTCATCTGTACCAGGGTTGGACTGGTCTGAAGAGAGCGGAGAGGAACTGGAGGACTCAGAGCAGGCCTCGCCATACCAGGTTGCATGGTCCATCCGAGAAACCCTCAGATATGAAAGACACATGTAAGTCTTTTTGTTTTTATTCTTAAATTACCACTGTAGCAATTGAGTCTTCCCTTTATATGCAATTTTTATTTTATTTTATTGGATCTAGTTTTATTGTAAAGTAGATAAAATAGATTCCACTTGGAAAGAAATGTACTATATTGTTTGAGGAAAGTTACTCTTAAGTTTTCTTATTAATTTGTACCTTTCCTAGGTATCACTGAAGGAAATAATTATAGTAGAATTTTGAATTGAAAGGGACCTTAGTGATTATCTAAGCCCATTTCCTTATTTTACAGAAGAGGAAATCATTTCCTCATTTTACAGAAGAGGAAATCAGGGCCCAGATAGGATAAGGAACTTGCCTGTAGTCCCAAGGCTACTTGAAAGTCCTATTCTCTGACTTTTCCTTATCTTTGTTGCCCTATTCACATATTAGTTGGAAATAGTACTTTTTACTTCACCTTTATCTTCTGTAAGATTGACCTATTCTGTAATATTTTAATGCACTGAATATTTCTAATGTGCCAATATGTTTTCCATGATAATGGCATTAAAGGTTTTTGGTAGCTACCTTACCAGAAAGCTGTAGATTAATGCACAGCCCCTTCAGTGATAGTGAGAAAGCCAGTGTGTTTTTCTTTTCAGGGTCCTAGGAATTCACTTGGTGTACTGTGACAGTGCTGAGATACAGCCTTATTTATGGGGCCAAAAGATAACTCACAGACTCAGCTAATTATTATTTTTTAGAGTATTGTGGTTTGAATAGATGTTCAGCAAGATAGAGAGGAGAGCAGCTGTCTGCCTCAGGCCAACTCATAGAATTTTGCAGTATCATTGTATGGACATACATGTAGACTTAAAATGTGATTTGTTAGTACACCCAGAGGTGAGGGAACTGATTGACTAGCCCTAGCATATAAACCAAAATACCAGTTTACAGTGAAATGTGTAATCTTTAAGTAGTACAGATGTTCACTAAGCAAAACTACATGGGAAGCAAAATATAATCAGAAACTTCCTTGGTCCTGGAATTAGAGCAGAGAGTTAGTTAAATTTATTAATGGCCAGTGTCCTTAACTTACAAGAGTCTAATGCATTCCTTTCCACTCCTGGGATTTATTTCCCATTTATTTGTCCTTGCCTTACCTATTTCCTACATGGTATTGGAGAATGCTATAGTTTTTCTCTCTCTCTCTTGATGTTCCGTTTTAGATGTCACTCAAGACTGTTTCCTTACCAGAGCATATTCTTTCTTTCAGATAGAAGGACAACTGAGCTTTTAGATCTGTATGTTTATAAGTCTTATCAAATTTGGAAAAATTTTGGCCCAGTTTTCTTCAATTATTTTTCTTCCCCCTTCTATTTGAGAAACTCTAGTTACACATATTTTAGGCTGTTTGAAATTATCCAGTAACTTACTGATGTCCTGTTCATTTTTTATTCCCCAGTGTTTTTTCCTCTCTGTGTTTCATTTTGAAAGGTTTCTGTTGCTGTCTTCAGTTTGTTTGTTTTTTACCAAGCAGTTTGGGAAGAGATTTCCTCTACTTCCTTTGAGACCAAAAATGCATCCATAAGTATATTTTATCCTGTATGTAGTTGCTTTGGGTCCCCTAGAATATATAATATAAGTTGCCATATTGCATTTAGTCTTTTACTCCTTTTTTGTTTAAACTGTTACCTATATGTGAATAACTCCCAAATATTTTTCTTACGTCTGACCTTTCTTTCAAGTTAGAACTGCTATCAGATATTTCTCATTACATATTCTGCCATACCCTAAATTCAGTAGTTCTAAAATTAAACTCATTATTTTCTTCAATATGTGTACCTTTTTCTGATTCCTCTATTTTTATCAGAAATGTTACCTTTTTGTTTTTTTGTTGTTTTTAAGAAGTAAAGTAAAATGAATTTTATTTGGGGAATTTCATGTCATGCCTTGAGATTATGGACAAGCCTGAAGTCTTAGGAATTCAGGTTTGGAATTTACTGCTCTACATTTGGAGTTACTATTAGCATTTTAATAATAGTAATACCTGTACTTACATTGTGATTTTACATATGTCCTTTCCTTTCCTTTCCTTTCCTTTCCTTTCCTTTCCTTTCCTTTCCTTTCCTTTCCTTTCCTTTCCTTTCCTTTCCTTTCCTTTCCTTTCCT